GCTCAGTCCAGGTCATCTTCTTTACTTTTCAATCTTGGCTCAATCTAAATCATTTTCTCAATTATTTGATCTCGATTAAGTTTTGATCATTTTTCTAACTTGTGGTTCGATCCCAGTTATTTTTTCTTACCAATTTGACTCTTAAAACAGAGTGGGTGTCTAGATCTTTGCATCATCCCTATCTAATAAAGATGTACAAAAATGAGCAATTATAAACACCCATTTGTGTTCGGGATCAATTGGTGTCGATTTTTACTACCAGTATTGTATTATAATATAACATAGTATATTATTTTAGTTTGTGTACTATTATTATATTATATTATATTATATTATATTATATTGTCATATTATCATAGTATAGTGTATTAATATATTATATAGTATATTATATTATTACTACTATTATTATAGTTTGTGTACTATTATTATATTATATTATATTATATTGTCATATTATCATAGTATAGTGTATTAATATATTATATTATATAGTATATTATATTATTACTACTATTATTACTTTTATTATTATTATTGTTGTTGTTGTTGTTGTTGTTACTATTTTTTTATTTTTTTTATTTTTTTTTCTTTTTTTCGATGCTATGATTAAGCATAGAAATGAAAATCTAGAGTTTAATCCACTTGGTCAATGAAACAGAAAATCAGAGGGGTTTTAGATTCAATCCAAACAGATTGCTAAAACTTAACCTCAAATCTTGCTTAGGCAAAATCCAATCCCAGGATTCAAGCCTGGGATTGATTCTATCCATTTTTTAAAGTTTGTTCTAAGTCTGCCTATAAATTGAACTAACATTACAGAGAACAAACACAGTTAATTTTTTGGGAGACAAAGTGGACATTGGAGAAAATTTTGGTTATTGTTGTTTTGAAAATTTTTTGGGCAATAAGGGATTTTCTGGGATTATGATTTTGGGAATCCTAAGTTCGATTTGAAGTTTTTGGATTGGATTTGAGATTATGAAGTTTGGATTAGGGTTTTGGAGAATTTTTGAAGAAATCTAGGAAAATCTAATAAAATTTAAGATTTTTCTAGAAAAATCTAGGTTTGGATGAATTTTTTAATGAGTATTTGAATTTTTCTTTTGAATTTTCCAGTGAGGTTGAATTTTTCTATGAGATCCTAGCGACTTTTCTAGAAATTGATGGATTTTTTAGTTTTCGATTAAATTTTTTAGTGACTTTCTCAGAAATTGATGGGTTTTTTTTAGTTTTTGATTGAATCTCTGGCAATATTCTTAAAGAATTTTTAGAGGGAAGTTAGAGTTTCTCAGTCAAGAGAGAGGAAAAACAGGGGGTTCTGAGTAAAAACCCAAGATCTGTGCATAACCCGCTGACCCATTCACTGGCCTGCACGTTGACTCAACCCAAATCACAGGTTTCTTTTTCCATTTTCATTTTATTTTTTGATTTTATTTATTTTATTTTATTTTATTTTATTAGTTTTTGTTTATTTGCATTTAGTAATACGATGTTTATTTTTTTTTTTTTGGAAAACAAAAGGAATAATAAATAAAAATAAATAAAAAACCTTTTCAAATAAGTTTAAAAAAATCAAAATATAAAAATAATAAAAAAATCTTTTTCAAATAAAAATCCTTACAAAATAAATTCATGAATTCTACCAAACTATTGGAGAATTTTTATGGATTTATTTTTTAAATGGAATCCACCAAACTATTGAAAAATTTCATAAATAATTTTTTCTAAAAATAATAATAATAAAAAATAATTTTATCTTCTAAACTATTGTAGAATTGCCTTTTAAATTAAGTTATACCAAACTATTGGAAGATTTAATGAATTTTTTAAAAATAATAATAATAAATAAAATTGTTCTAAATATTTTTACAATAAAATCTCACCAAATTATTAGGAGATCTACTTCAAAATAAGTTATACCAAACTATTGGAAGATCTAATGAATTTTCTAAAAATAAATAATTTTTTCTAAAAATAATAATAATAATAATAAATAAAATTGTTCTAAATATTTTTACAAATAAAATCTCACCAAATTATTAGGAGATCTATTTCAAAATAAGTCGCACTAAATTATTATGAGACTTTATTGATTTTTTCTTAATAAATCTAATGACGGAACTTCTTAAAAGTGGAACACTAGTCTCTATGAATACTTCTAAGATGAGAGAATTATCTTAAATTACTACCAAACTATTAGGACAATTTTAAGAAAATTTTCAATATTAAATAATTCGGTAAATTAAAAATATGATCAAGGCTTGAATAATCTGAAATCAAATCGATACCACCTTTTGAATAGGTGTTGTTAGGGTGCTATAACCTTCTCCACATATAATCACATTCTCGAATTTAAACGATGATTTTATATATCAAAATTTACTATTTAAAGACACCCAAGTCAATCTTAAGACTTTTCTTTAAAATAGGATAGATTCAATCAGATGACTAATCACACTTAAATAAAAAAAATATTAGTGACAACTTCTCTAATCTATATTTAACAATAGATCCATGAATCTATATATATATAATTATTTTTTAAAAAATAAAACACCTAATGATTAATAAATACATATATTATTTGAAATCCAATCTAACTATCGTTTAATTGTCTGCAAGGAAGTATCCGTCCAACACTTGTGCACTTTATGACATAAAAGGAATTATGCATTTTGTCGAGAGAATTTTTGCAGTTTCTTTGTTAAAAAATCTGAAAAGATAAAAGATACTTACGGAGAAGGGGAAATGAAAGAGGAAAGCAAGAGAGAATGAAGATGGAAAGGGTGAAAGGAGAGACAAGCAAGTTAAAAAAAAAAAAAAAAAGAGAAAGAGAGAAAAATAAAAGAATGTTTGAAAGAGCCATTATAGCAAATGAACTACAGAGTTACTGTAATCATTTCTATGAAAAAAGTCAAGAAAAGAATTATATCAATTGTTGAGGTTGATGTTGACTTTTGGCCAAACCTCACACATATATTATAATCAAAATAAATTTTTAAAAAATTTTTACAAGATCAATTTTTTAAAAATTCAAAAATGAAAAAAGCCATATTCGACTTTCCTATGGCCGAAAATGACCTTGTGGCCACTCTCAAAAGAATTTTAAAAAAAAAAAAAAATTTAGTGAATGCCAACTTCGGCCTTTGCATTCACAAAAACAACTTGATATTGGTTGAGTTTGGCTTTCAATGACCATCTGTTTCTCTTCTCTCATCTCATTGATTTCTCCCTTTTGTTTTTTCTCCATCTCTTTGCCTAATTGCCTACTTTCAATTAAACCCTAAATTTTTTTTTGCCAAAAGTCAACAATTTCAACAATTGATAAAATTCTTTCCTTGTCTTTTTTCATAGAAATGAATGCAATGAGCTTTTAGTTCATTTTCTCTAATTACTCTTTCAAACCTTTTTCTATTTTTCTCTTTCTCACTCTTTTTTTTCCTCGCGTGGTCTCTCCCTCCATATTCTCTCACTTTCCTCTATTTCATTCTCCTTTCTCCATAAGTTTCTTTTATTTTTTCAGATTTTTTAACAAAAAAAAAATTCAAAAATTCTCTCAACAAAATGTAAAATTCCTTTTATGTCATAAAGTACACAGGTGTTGGACGAAAACTCTCTTGCAAGCAAAATTAGATGATAACTAGAAATGATTCCCTGCATCGCCCGAGATAGATTTGTTTTTTCTAAAATAAAAGTGTATCTACCTCGTTTATGTGAGTCGGATCTAAGGTTTATAAATTAAAATCTGTCAAAATGAACATAAGTAAATTTAAAATGCAAGCTAAAAAGATAAGTTGTTAATCATTAAGGAAATTCAAAAGATAATTTATAAACATAAACAATTAACATTAAGAAAGTTTAAAATATAATCCAGAAGCATAAGCCGTCAATTATAAGACAATTTAAAAGACTTTTTTAGTGCTGACAATTGCAAATATACGTTAAACACCTCTCATTTGAAGATTAGGAGAAAGAAAAATAAGTCATCTAAAGAATTTTAAAGTCAATAACCCAACTCCAAGTATTTTATTAAGATTTTAATCAACTTCATGGAAATAAAGTAATTATTCATCCATTAAGAACAGAAAAATTAACGTAATTCAACTTTATAAATTCAAGTTTATATACTGAAGAGGATGACTATAATAAGAAAAGATGAAAATTACAAGGATTAATCACTTCACAATTTTTTATACAAAATAGAACTAAGAATATGGAAGAGGTAATATATGTTAAGTTTTGAAGGAGACATATTAAATATTACTTTTTAAGATAATTATATGCACTAACTGAATTAAATTTTAAATTTTATCACTCAACAATTTCACCTAACTAGACATTCCTCTAAAATTCATCAGAGTTGATTGGCACATTCTTTCGTTCATGCATTCCACATTTTCCATTACAGCTAGTGGTGGTTTATGGCGAGCGTTCTCCTCCTAAAATTTAATAATACAATGCTATTTTATAAAAAAAAACACAAAGATAATAATGTGTTTATGCAAAATGTCAACACTTTCATGACGATTTTCCAAAGTTTAATCTGTTTAGAAAGTGTCAACATTTGCATTCAGCATATTTGAACTAAGTAAATCTTGTTTTGTTGTCTATGAACTTAGAATTTTACGTCTTTTCTCTTCCATTAGACAATAGCAAACCTAAAATCTGGACGACAAGGAAAAGCTAGGTTGTTAAGTAACTATGTTTCGGCCCCGCTGGCTTTCCAAGCACAGAAGTTTCATCCAAAAACCCCAGAAAACAAAACCAATTGTGTCACCAAAATATGAAAGCAGATTTGACAATTAAATCTTCAAATTCATTAATGAGTAAATATTAATCTTTAAAATAAATGTATAAAAATTTATTCATTAATAAAATAATATTATTTAATTCGCTGACAGTGTAAAAACTAGTGCATCAAATATAATCCTTATAAATAGATGGGCCGGAGAAAGAAAAAAATCATTGTGAAACTATCATTTTCTTGTCCTACAAAAATGGGGTCTCAAAGCATCAGTTCCTCAATCAGCAGTGTAGCCACTGTGTTATGGTGTGCCGGTTTGTTGCTTGTAGGATTGTTTCCAACCGCTATTACTGGAATCACAATCAAGGGACATGACAGAGATCGCGAAGCATTGCTTGCCATAAAGTCACAAATTAATCATAATCCACTTGGAGTCACAAGCTCAGGGAACGACTCTGTAGCCTTGTGCCAGTGGAAAGGAATAACTTGTGAACATAGGCATCAAAGGATCACCAAGTTGGAGTTAAGCCAGCAACGGTTGGGAGGTGCCTTATCTCCCTATGTAGGGAACCTCAGCTTCCCAAGGTTCATCAACCTTCAGGACAACAATTTCTATGGTGTCATCCCCCCTGAAATTGGTCGACTTTCGGGGCTTGAAAGTTTAATTTTAAAAAACAATTCCTTTGGAGGAACAATACCAGTCAATTTGACCCATTGTTCTAACCTCATTCAGTTTATTGCCAGCCGGAACAACCATGTCGGGAATATCCCAGCTGAGCTCGGCAATTTGTTGAAGCTCGAGAAACTGCACATTGGTTACAACAATCTAACAAGACAACTGCCGCCTTCTCTTGGGAACGTTTCCACTCTTCAAGAAATCTTCTTAACTGTGAACAACTTGCAGGGTGGATTGCTTGATGCACCGCTAGGCCTTCTAAAGAGGTTAGTCTTGCTTCAGCTAGATATTAACAATTTCTCTGGCTTGATTCCTCCTTCATTTTATAACATCTCATCTCTTGAAGTCTTAACTCTAGGAGACAATCAACTCCATAGAAGCCTCCCACTTAACTTAGGCACAAATTTGCCAAACTATAAGAATTTGTTATATCAGCTGATACTCTTAGTGGGAATCTACAAGAGTCATTATCCAATGCTTCAAAGTTGGAAAGATCTGATGTTTCAGTGAATCATTTCAGTGGCAAAGTCTCCATTAATTTTCAAAACGTCAAGAATCTTTCTTGGCTAAATATGACCTGATTCCCTTGGTAAGCTTAAAAACCTGCAATTGATAGCCTTCGATGGAAATGCTTTAACTGGGAGAATCCCTACCTCTGTAGGAAATCTTTCACTGCTAAACGTGATTGGTTTAGAAGATAACCTCTTAGAGGGTAGCATTCCTGTTGGGTTTGAAAAATGTCAAAATTTGATGATGATGACATTAAACTCCAATAGGTTAACAGGTCCGGTTCCCAAAGAGATATGTAACATAGAAACACTCTCAGTTTACCTAGATCTGTCCAATAACCTTCTAACAGGCTCCTTTCCTTTAGAAGTAGGGAACTTGAAAACTTTGGTACAACTAGATATATCAGGAAACAAGTTCTCTGGTCAAATTCCTCCTACTCTAAGTAGTTGTACAAGCTTGGAGACTCTTTATTTGGGGAAAAATCATTTTTATGGAAGTATCCCAGCCTGTTTGAGCTCCTTGAGAAGCATTGCTGAGCTGGATCTGTCAAACAACAATTTGTCTGGTCAAATCCCAGTGTATCTTGAGAAATTATCCTTCTTGATATACTTGAATCTCTCTCACAATCACTTTGAAGGACAAGTGCCAACGAAAGGAGTTTTCAGTAATGCAACAGCAATTGCACTAACTGGTAATGATAGGCTTTGTGGGGGAATTGCTGAATTGAATCTGCCAATATGCCACTTTAACGAGCCCAAGAAATAAAAAGGAACTGTTCCACTCAAACTAATCTTGATTGTTTGTGGGGTTCTTGGAATTCTTTTGCTATCATCACTCATTTTCTGTTGGTTGAGGAAAAGAGGAGTAATAAAAGCAGAGCCTTCATAGGCTTCCGCGTGGGAAATTCAATTTTGATGGTTTCTTTTCAGGAACTCCTCAAAGCTACCGATGGATTCGCTTCAGCCAACTTAATTGGCGAAGGATGCTTTGGGCGCGTTTACCGAGGAATTTTAGATCAAAACCAGGAGCGAAATGTAATTGCGGTGAAGGTGATGAATCTACTAGAACAAGGTGGTTCCAAGAGCTTCCTCAAAGAATGTAAAACATTGAGAAATGTCAGGCATCGTAATCTTGTCAGGATAATATCTGCTTGCTCTGGTATTGATTTTCAAGGCAATCCTTTCAAAGCCCTTATGTATGAGTTCATGCCCAATGGAAGTTTAGAAGGATGGTTGCATGCAACAAAAGAAGCAAATACCATTGAACATGGAGAACCAAAGATCTTAAACTTTCCTCAAAGACTAAACATTGCAATTGATGTGGCCTCAGCACTTGATTACCTCCATCATCACTGCGAGGTGCCTGTAGTTCATTGTGATTTGAAGCCAAGTAACATTCTGCTTGACCATGACATGGTTGCTCATGTAGGAGACTTCGGACTAGCCAGGTTTTCCCCAAAATCCATCAACAATTCTTGTGGAAATTCTACAAGCACTCTTGGTCTAAAGGGAACCGTAAGTTATGCTGCACCAGTTAAATTAATATATCTACTTATAATAACCCTGAGCCAAAGTGGGATAGAAGCTGGAAAACTAATGCTCTTAATCTTAAAATGTAAATCTTTCATAACGATTTGTTGGGCAGCAAGATTTAAATTGGTAATAATTCCTATTTTTGGGCAGAGTATGGCATTGGAACAGTGGCAACAACAAGCAAGGACATGTACAGCTTTGGAATACACCTGCAGGAAATGTTCACAGGTAAGAGACCCACCGATGATATGTTCAAAGATAGTCTAACACTTCACCATTTCACAAAGATAGCATTGCCTGATCAAGTACTTGAAGTTGTGGATCCATTACTTCTAGCTGGAGATAACGAAGAAGAGAATGCGTGTAGCAGCAGAAATCCAAGGAGAGCAAACATGGAAGAAACCAAAAAGAAAGAGTACCTGATTTCCATCTTGGGAGTTGGAATTGCTTGTTCCGTTGAATCACTCAAAGATCGCATGGACAGTGTCAATGCGTCCAAGCTACTGCATTCTATCAGGGACAAATTTCTAGGGACCGGAATCCGGACACAGAGAAACACGTATTTAGAATGGAGTTTGGTTATTTTGTGTTGTAGCCAAAAACATTACTACTTGTTTTTCTCAGTAAAACTTCCCGAATTCTAATAATTTTGAAAGTTCTGTCATCAAAACTTGCAATCAAATTGAGAAATTCGTAAACTACAGTAAAATTTTTCTAAACCAAAGACAATTAAAATTATTATTATACTCAATCAAAGCACAACGAAGATTAAAGCAAACGCAACTATTTAATTTTATTTGTTCAAATCAAATAAAATCACTGCTACAATTTATATTAAATCATAGTCTAAAGAAGCAGTTCAATTCTCAATGAAGATGAGTACTAGCAAATCAGCCCTATCATAAATATATATATATATATATATAAAGGGAAAATTTTTCGTGCATGTGCTATGGCAAGGATTATAATGTTTACTTCTATATTTATTATTGGAAATCTAATTATATATAATTATTTTTAAAAACCTAAAACACTTAATTATTAATAAATATATTTATTTTTTGAAATATAGAATTTATATTTAATTTATTAATAGTATATAAAATTTATACATTAATAATGTATTAAATATAGATCCTTATGTGCATATGTGCTAAAATGCATCCAAAGTATAAAGTGAAACTCAGTAGATTCAACAAACTTTCTAATAATATATAATATTTATAGCAATAATCTATCCATTAATACAAAATTTTATTAAAATTTACTATTGTAGATAATAGTATCTCATCAAAAAAAAAAATTTCTTTCAATCTTTAAAAACTCAAATATCTACCTTTAACCTTTAAAATTCACTCAAAAATCATCATTAGATCTTAATAATATGAAGTAAACAAAGTTCAATAATTTATCAAAATAGATCATGAAAATTAATGAAAGATTTCATAATTTTTTTTATTTTTCTCTCAAAACTTCAACTCATAATAATAACAACTAATATAATATTTTTCTTAAAAAAAAAGATGACATATGCTTACATTTAGGAGATTAACTCGATTGTAGTCTCCGATTTTAAATATTGACTTGATTTTTCATGCTTTCTAATCTTAAGAAAGATGAAAATAAAAACTCTCATTTTCTTTCTTGTTTCACGATAATTAGATTTTCTCTCCTAAAATGCTTCTACCACTTTTTTTTAGTAATTAATTTCTTAATAAACTAATGAATTTTAGTAATAATCTAACTCAATTATCATTTAAACTAAGATATTACACAATATATGACCATTTATTCTTTTTTTCTCATCATTCTTTCATTTTTTTTCCCTTATTCTCCTTGCCTTTCCTTTCTTTCTTAACTCACAGCTTATTTTTCCTATCGTTTCGGTCAAACAAATATTATTTAGGTTGGTTGTAGGAGAAAAAAATGAAATTCAAATTGGTAAGAGAGAAAAAAAATGTTATAGAAAAGAAAATTCTGAATGATTAATTATCATATCTTAGTCAATTTAGTCATCAAACATAACTGAATTGACCAGAAAAAACTGCCTATTGAAAACCAAATTTATATTAAAAACAGGAAGTTAGAATTAAAAGAAAAAAAAAAAAGAGAAAAGAAAATGTGAATAGTTGTCATTTGTTATTTATACAACTCAAATCAATCCTTTCAAAATTAAATTGATTTCATTTCTTATTCTTTTCGGTTTCGAGGTGAACCAGCTGTTTAATCTTTGTGGGAGATTTTGACTCCACCACGGCTAGCATTGGTCGTACTCATGGTCATGCACGCAATTTAGCTTGAGCAGGACTTGCGTAGGAGAGATTAATGATGGTGGAAGACATGCTGTGCTTAATTTCTTTTTTGGTAACGTTTGCTATTTTTTATAAGATTATTGTGATAATATAATTATTGAGATAATTTTATTATTAAGATAATCATAACGTTCATGATTTGAAATTATTTTGTTTAGTTAATAATAATTAATTTTTAAAAATTAAAAATTATTATGTTTGATATTACTAAAAATCAAACATTATTTTATTTAAAAATATGAAAATAACCATACATTAATAGTTACATAAATTAATAATTTTATAGTTGTTTAAAGATAATAATTTTTAAAATATTAATAATATTTATTTATTTTATAATAAATTATTAAATTATAAATAATAATATATTTATTAATAAGTAAATTTATTTTTATAATATAAATTATTAAAATAATATCAAATTAACAAAATGAAACCATTCTATTAAATTCATAATAAAAAAAATAAAAAATTTCATTATATATAAAATATTAAAAATAATAAATATATATATACACATGATTTTAAACTTGTTATAATGAATTAGTTTGAAAATATTAAAATTTATAATATAAAATAATTATAATTTTAAGATGTAATAAGATTTTAATTCACATATTAAATGAGTAAAATGAACTATTATTAATTTTATATTTCACTTCACCTTATAATAAAAGTTTCTCACATTTTTGTATAAGAATTAAATTACATTTCAAGATAATGATCTAATTATTCTCGGTTAGCAAAAATCATCGTCATGTAAAATCATCAAGTGTTTACCAAACATAATGATTTAATTATCATATATAAATCATTATAAATTTTAAAATAATTACCCTATACCAAACACTACCTTTGAGTAAGCCTCCCATATTAAGTTTTGCACATTCTTGAAGACCGAAAAAATTCAGAAATACATGGTAACAGAAACACTAATTAAGCAAGCACCACAAAATTTATCTTATGTTTTTATATGTTAAATATTAATATTTTTTAGAAGAAGAAACTCCAAATCAATGAGATAAGATATATATATATATATATAATATGAACATTTTATATTTGATGCAATTTTTTTAAAAGCCACAAACATAATCAAATATCACATCCATATAATCAATTAATAATCAATTATTTTATAATAATTAAGTTAAAATTATTGAATAATTAACTAATCAATTATAATATAATTAAACAATTAAACCACAAATAGTGAAACTTGAATTAGAAAATCAAGTTCTAGGGCTTTTTCTTTGAATTTAAGCCAATGCTTCACAGGATAATTAAATAGTAATTAAGTTAAAAAATGGTCAGACTCCTCTTCCTATTGGATTGTCCAGAATGACATTTTTACATACTTCTGGTGTTGAATATTCCTGGAAAATGCTCAGGGTGCTAGGATGCGACGAGCGATGGACCAGGAGTTATAAGCAACTTGACTAAAATTGGTAGTTGGATATCACTGTCAAGTGTATTGCGTTTGTCTCGGGGAGTTACTAGTTTGCCTTTCATGTTGGTCAGTCAATTCAACCAAATTCTTTGATTACAAATTTATGGGCCGGAGAAGGAAATAATCACGATATATCCTTAGAAATTATCATTATCTTGTCCTACAAAAATGGCGTCTCAAAGCATCAGTTCTTCATTCAGCAGTGTAGCCACTGTGTTATGGTGTGCCGGTTTGTTGCTTGTAGGATCGTTTGCAACCGCTATTACTGGAATCACAATCAATGGACATGAGAGAGATCGCGAAGCATTGCTTGCCATAAGGTCACAAATTAATCATGATCCACTTGGAGTCACAAGCTCATGGAACAACTCTGTAGCCTTGTGCCGGTGGAAAGGAATAACTTGTGGCCGTAGGCATCAAAGGATCACCAACTTGGACTTAAGCCAGCAACGGTTCGGAGGTACCTTATCTCCCTATATAGGGAACCTCAGCTTCCTTAGGTTCATCAACCTTCAGGACAACAATTTCTATGGTGTCATCCCCCCCGAAATTGGTCGACTTTCGAGGCTTGAAAGTTTAATTTTGCAAAACAATTCCTTTGGAGGAACAATACCAGCCAATTTGACCCATTGTTCTAACCTCATTCAGTTTGTTGCCAGCCGGAACAACCTTGTTGGAAATATCCCAGCCGAGTTTGGCAATTTATTGAAGCTAGAGAAACTACGAATTTCTATCAACTTTCTAACTAGGCAACTCCCAGTTTCATTGGGGAACCTTTCCAGTCTACATCTGCTTCAAGTAGGTAGGAATAACTTGCAAGGGAGAATTCCTGATACATTAGGCCAGCTTAAAAGGTTAGTCAATCTTTCACTGGACGAGAATAATTTCTTTGGCTTAGTTCCTTCTTCAATTTATAACATCTATTCTCTAGAGAGATTCGGTCTAGCATGTAATCGATTCCATGGGAGCCTCCCTGACGACATAGGCTTCACACTTCTAAACGTTCGAAAAATTTATATTGATAATAATAGTTTCTCTGGGACTCTGCCAGAGTCATTATCCAATGCTTCAAAGTTGGAAGCATTTGATGTTTCCAGGAATCATTTCAGTGGCCAAGTGTCCATTAATTTTCAAAACGCCAAGAATCTTTATTGGCTAAATATGGAAATAAATAATCTGGGAAGCGGTGCCGCAGGGGATTTAGATTTTTTAACCACCTTAACTAATTGTAGCAGATTGCAAATTTTTAGCATAGCTGCTAATCAATTTGGTGGCTTGCTACCAAATTCCATAACAAACCTTTCGACAACAATTAGAATTATATACCTAGGTTTTAATCAAATAACCGGCACCATACCTTTGGGGATAACAAACCTCGTAAATCTAATAGGAATTGGTTTGGAGCAGAACCAACTGACTGGCACTATTCCTGATTCCCTTGGTAAGCTTAAAAACCTGCAATCAGTAACCTTCGGTAGAAATGCTTTAACTGGGAGAATCCCTACCTCAATAGGAAATCTCTCACTGCTAAGCAGGATTGGTTTAGAAGAAAACCTCTTAGAGGGTAGCATACCTGCTGGGTTTGAAAAATGTCAAAATTTGATGCTGATGACATTAAAGTCCAATAGGCTAACAGGTCTAGCTTCCAAAGAGATATTTAGCATAGTAACACTCTCAGTTTACCTAGATCTGTCCAATAACCTTCTAACAGGCTCCCTTCCTTCAGAAGTAGGAAACTTGAAAACTTTGGTAAAACTGAATATATCAGGAAACAAGTTCTCCGGTCAGATTCCTGCTACTCTAAGTAGTTGTTCGAGCTTGGTGACTCTTTCTTTGGGGAAAAACCATTTTTATGGAAGTATCCCAGCCTCTTTGAGCTCCTTGAGAAGCATTGCTGAGCTAGATCTGTCAGATAACAATTTGTCTGGTCAAATTCCAGTGTATCTTGAGAAATTATCCTTCTTGATATACTTAAATCTCCCTACAATCACTTTGAAGGACAAGTGCCAACGAAAGGAGTTTTCAGTAACGCAACAGCGATTGCACTAACTGGGAATGACAACCTTTGTGGGGGTATTGCTGAATTGCATCTGCCATTATGCCACTACAACGAGCCCAAGGAACAAGGAAGAAATGTTCCACTCAAACTAATCTTGATTGTTTGCGGGGTTGTTGGAATTCTTCTGGTATCATCACTCCTTTTCTGTTGGTTGAAGAAAAGAGAAATGGAAACAGAGCCTTCATCGACTTTCCGCTTAGGAAATTCATTTTTGATGGTTTCTTTTCAACAACTCCTCAAAGCTACTGATGGATTCACTTCAGCCAACTTAATTGGTGAAGGAAGCTTTGGCCGCGTGTACAGAGGAATTTTAGATCAAAACCAGGAGTGAAATGTAATTGCAGTGAAGGTGATGAATCTGCAAGAACAAGGTTCTTCCAAGAGCTTCCTCAAAGAATGCAAAACATTGAGAAATGTCAGGCATCGTAATCTTGTCAGGATAATATCTGCTTGCTCTGGTATTGATTTTCAAGGCAATCCTTTCAAAGCCCTTATGTATGAGTTCATGCCCAATGGAAGTTTAGAAGGATGGTTGCATGCACCAAAAGAAGCAAATACCATTGAACATGGAGAACCAAAGATCTTAAACTTTCCTCAAGACTAAATATTGCAATTGATGTAGCCTCAGCACTTGATTACCTCCATCATCACTGTGAGGTGCCTGTAGTTCATTGTGATTTGAAGCCAAGTAACATTCTGCTTGACCATGACATGGTTGCTCATGTAGGAGACTTCGGACTAGCCAGGTTTTCCCCAAAATCCATCAACAATTCTTGTGGAAATTCTGCAAGCACTCTTGGCCTAAAGGGAACTGTTGGTTATGCTGCACCAGGTACATTAATTTATCTACTTCTTATAATAACAACCCCCAGCCAAAAAGGGGTAGAAGCTGGTAACTAATGCTCTTAATCTTAAAATGTAATTCTTTCATAATGATTTGTTGGGCAGCAAGATTTAAAAGGCCATAAATTCCTATGTTTGGCAGAGTATGGCATTGGAACAGAGGCAACAACAAGCGGGGACATGTACAGCTTTGGAATACTCCTGCTGGAAATGTTCACGGGTAAGAGACCCACCGATGACATATTCAAAGATGATCTAACACTTCATCATTTCGCAAAGATGGCATTGCCCGATCAAGTACTTGAAGTTGTGGATCCATTACTTCTAGATGGGGATAAGGAAGAAGAGAATGCAAATAGCAGTAGAAACCAAAGGAGAGTACACATGAAAGAAACCAAAAAGAAAGAGTGCCTGGTTTCCATCTTGGGAGTTGGAATTTCTTGTTCTGTTGAATCACCCAAAGATCGCATGGACAGTGTCGATGCAGCCAAGCAACTGCATTCTATCAGGGACAAATTTCTACGGACCGGAATCCGGACACAAAGAGAAGCACGTGTTTAGAATGGAGTTTGATTGTTTTTTCTTGTTGTAGCCAAAAACAATACTACTTGTTTTTCTCAATAAAACTTCCTGAATTCTAATAAAAGTAAATTTTTTCTAAACCAAAGACACAATTAAACTTGTTATTATACTGAAAATCAAAGCACAACGAAGATTAAAGCAAACGCAACTATTTGATTTTATTCGTTCAAAGCCAAATTTTTATATTACAAAAACGAGAAATTAGAATTAAAAGAGAATTTCAGTGAAATCACCGGCTCTTGCTATCGTAATCGACAACCTCGGAATCGGTAATGGACCGTGAATGTTGGACGATAGACCGACCAATGGAATTCATCCAATCCTCTTTCTCTTTCTCCGTATCGGCGATGAAACACATGGTGGAATCTCGAGTGGAGAGCTCGAAAGCGAAGGCCTTGTTCACGATATCCTCGGCTCCCTTGACTGTGAGGCAAAGGCCCACCGCTACCACGCCACGTGGAGTGGAGCCGCGGGTGACGGAAGCCGGTCCTTGAACCATAACAGCTTCCCTTGCTTCAAGACGAACCAGCGGCGTCGCCAGTTCTTGATGTAATCACCTTGTTTAGTTAGCCAACCGGCTCGTTCGGAGCCGCTCCAGAACTCGATACCTTTGTAGTCATCCGGATTCGGGTCCTGACCCGTTGCCGCTCGCCATAGATTCTCCATGTTGTTTAACGAGAGAGAGATATAGAGTTGGTGTTTGAGCAAGGAAATTAGTTTGTGTCTTTACTTGGGAGTTCTTTGGCAGTTTTTACTGAACTTGGAGATGCCTTCGGCTTATACGGCGCCGTTTTGATGATGTTGATCGGAGAATAAGCAGAAATAATAAATTCGAAATTAGCTTTATGTCTAACTTGATTTGAAACCAATAAGATTTCACGTAATTTTAATTTTTTAAAGAAATTAGGGACAGGAACGCCTTAAAATTATCCACAAATATTAGTTCAATCCAAATTTATTTTTTCTCGTCAACATTTAAAACTAATTTTTTTTTAATACAAAAAGGTTATAGTTTGAAAATAAAAAATAAATTTTAAATATTAATATTTTAAATTTAAATTTATTAAATATTATATTTTAAAAATAATTATACGAATCAAATTGATCTAAACCAAATTTTTTAAAGTAAAATTTTTAATATACTAAATTGATATGAAAAAATTATATTTTTAAAATCAGCCAAAAAAAATATTACTCCAAAAAAACTTGAATAGACACTAGCAAGAAAATTTATATAGATGAGCGGTGACAAGAAAGAGTTACGGGTGAAAAAAAAAAAACCAAAATTGATTAAAAAATGTAGTGTTTAGTTTAACCTAGATTGATTTTTTTTATTCGGTATGAATTAATTTGAATTATTAAATTTGTATATTAAATTTGAATCAAATTTTGAATCAAAAGATGAAAAAATAAAAAAAAATTCAAATGAATCGAATTATATATAATTTTTAATTTTTATATATTTTTAAATTTTTATAAAATAAAAATAATAATTTTATATCAAAATCTATTTAAATATATTAAAATTTTATATTAAAACAATATATATAATTAAAATTTAGAATATTCAAAACAAATCAAATTGATAAAATTATATTTAATTCAGTCTGAATTATATGAAAATTTTATTTGAATTTAAATCAAATTTTAAAAATTTATAATATTATATAATAATAAAAAAATTAAATCAAATACAATTCAATCTAAATCATTATCATCTCAAAAAAAGGTAAGGGCACGTGTTAAAGGAATAATATCAAGAACTTTGAGTGATTGAATATTCGGTGAAGCAATAAAGAAAGGCATCCTACAACATCATCTTCCACTAGTTCAATTTCTTGGGTAAGTTATTCAACATGGCAGACGTAATCGAGGTTGATAACATGTTCATTTCCCTTGAGGCCTGAGGGATGGCAACAAGAAAGATTGATCAGAAAACTTGATGAGGTTGGGGAATCTTATTACCATTTGGCAGTAGGCATGTCAGCTTCTTAGCTAGATTTGAACCCAAACACACACACACATACACACACACACACACACACATAAACATTAAAACAATCAAACCAGAAGATATATGATTCGATGCTGCATATATATATTTATTATTGGATCCGGACGCTATAATGCAAGCTCAAGCTACAAAATCCATCATCTTTAGTTAAGTAGTAGCTGTCTTTTCTTTTGTTAGCCTGTGCGGAAATATTCTTCACATTGTCTTTGCATTCTGAGATTCTACTTCTTCTTGAAGTTGTGTTTTATGCTGAAAGGGGCTTGTTCTTGAGTTTCTTGGCTATTTCTGCAACATATTTGCCTTGGTGAAAGGCCTGTTGGAGCTCTAGCTCGGTGGGTTCACGGGATCCGTCGGCTGCATAAGTGCCAGCTCCATAAGAGGAGCCACCCTTTACCTCATTCATCTCAAACATGCCACTGCCGAAAGTGTATCCAAGAGGGACAAATATCATACCATGATGTGCTAGCTGTGTCACAGCAGTTAATCTGCATATCAGGTAGAAAAAAGAGAGAGATTGAATGTTACACATAACACAATTATGCAGTGCTCAAAGTGCTCGTAACAGTTTTTCATACTAGTTCTACTTGACATAGCATAATTAACCTCTTTGTCAAATTTTAATTAGGACAATTGGATAGATTAACAAGAATTACAAAATCTTCATTTTTACACACATATTATATATGAACTGATATAGCTCTGAGAATATCTAAAATTGAAAAGAAGGAACTTACGCTGTAAGCTCCTGACCTCCCCCATGGAAACCGGTACTCCAGAAGATGCCAGCAGGCTTTCCAGCAAGTGCTTGGCGTTCCCACAGCTCACTAGTAGCATCAAAGAAAGCCTTGAACTGAGCTGCCATGACACCAAAACGAGAAGGAAACCCAAAGAGAAAACCATCAGCATCTATAAGCTGTTCTGGCCTAATCTCTGGTACATCATCTGCTTTAGCAGGTGCCTTCATCTTTTGCAGTATTACATTGGATATTGTTTCAGGTACCTGTTGAATCAACGAAGTCTAATTTAATAATATCAAAAGGCCATTTTTCTTTAAGCGGTCCCATTTCTCATTTGATAATTACTGATTCTTACCATAATAAAACTACCTGCCAAAGTGTTGCTTCAACACCTTGAACTGCATTAGCCCCCCGTTGCACTTCCCTTGCCATAGTCTCAACATGACCATATAACGAGTAATACCTATCCAAGGCAGTACCATAATATTCAGGGACAGGTAAATATAGTAATAATTTATAGCAAATTTCAAGTAAAGATGTGTGTATTCATGCACATTGGTCAAGGGATCAGTACTCACACTATGTACAACTTGGCTTTAGCCATATCTGCAATTGGGCTGGACGTTTGACCTTGACACACCAACTGCTTATGCCTGTATGACCAATTCAACAATACTGGGAAAACTAAATCAAAACTATCGAATTATCATCAACACTTGAAATTACTTAAAAGATTACTAGGAATTTGTATAACTTTCTTTTGCACACACAACTTACCCTCAAAAGTCAAAACCCATAATAAAAATAAATGCAGTGAATTGTTGAAGACAAATCAGGCAAATGTCACAATTCTAAATCCTTAATTATAGGTTTGTCAGGCATAGCTAAGAAATCAAAAGTACGAAAACGCCTTGGACATCCGTCTCCTAAAAGCAATAATTAAACCATCCAACTCCATATCAGTAGGTAGATTTTACAACCACCCAGACAGAAAACAGATGCATCACAAATACAGGTAACCTATTTGTCCATGGCTATTTTACTAAAACAATCAAAACAGCATTCTTAAAGTGATTCATGGTTGAATATTCGAAAAATACATATATATAGCAACGGGAAAGCTGCGTCATCTTCACAATATTTTATCCAAGAAATTCCAAAGCCATCAAGAATTAAAACAGAATATTAAGTAATTGGAAATAAATCATTCAGAAAGATAACAATCCAATTAATGCAAAATGCAGAGAAACCCAGAATCAGTTACAAGCCTCTTTAACACCTTCTTTAAGCAGAAACTCTTGCGCATCAACATGGATAGACAGATAAATTGAATGAAAAATGGAACGAAAAGAAGTTGAGATATGTTACCTTATGTTGAAGGAGACGGAACTTACGGAAGTACTTGTAAGAAGAGAGAACAATGTGAGCCAGGAGAAACAGATAATGAGGCTTTTGGCTAAGGTCGAAACTCTAAAGTAGTTTTAGGCTGGCGGGTTTGGCTTGTCTACAAAGAAGATATACAATATTGTATCAGATAACCTTACTAACGTGGCAAATTAAGTGTTTGTTTTTTTCTGTTCTTGTAGTTAGCTTTCACGTTTCCAAAAGGTTAGCTAAATTATACAAGCAATCTTGATGTACATTTTAAATTTTAATTTTAATATTTATAATTTTTATTTCTCCTTTAAACTCTGATTTTTTATGTAAAAGAATTAAATTTTAAAATTTAAATCTTAATATATACAATTGTAACTGGTTTATATATATATATATATATATATATATATATAAAAGAATTCTTATCGCAAACTAAATCTTATCATCGACTTACTAACTGCTACTTTCTCTATGAGGAAGACAATTTAACTATGTAAATCTTTTGTATAAACCTTTGTTTATTTATATGTCAATTTCATTTTGTTCGAACAAAATGAAATGAAAAAAAAATGAACATTTTGTATTTTGCTGAAGCCAACTAGATGAGAATAAAAAGTTTTTTCTTCCCACAAACTATCCAAAACAAGAGTCTTGAAACATTGATGAAGAACCATATATGATATATCACGTCTCTTTGGGGTAGAAATTGGCAAAGAAGAAAGAGAAAACGCTTTGAACATTTAGTTCTTATATGTATTTGTGTATTGCACATATATGAAAGAAAAAAGAAAGCCACTCCCTCTCTACAAAAACCAGCGACTATTAGCAGCAATTATAGAGAAGAGATTGAATTATTTCTCAACAAATGAGGACTCCGCAAGATCAATGGCACGGTCAAGAGCGGCAGCTTTGTTTTCACACTCTCTCTGTTCATCAGCAGGGACACTGTCCGCCACAATTCCGGCCCCTGCTTGGAGGTGAGCAACCCATTCTCGACGATTGTTCACATCCTTGTAGGAATACATGGTGTCATAACGAGTGGCAGTTGGAAAAACAATGGTTCTCAGTGCAAGGGCAATGTCCATATCACCGGAGAATGAAATGCCTCCAAACCCACCACTGTATGGTCCTCGTCTCGTAACTTCTAGCTGATCAATCAACTCCATTGCTTTCACCTGTATTGCGGGGTTAAGAAAATGGGAAAGCACCAAAACGTGAAACCATATACACTAGCAGGAAGCAAAGAGTATTCAATCATTCTATATGGATTAAAAGAAACAACACAGGGTTCGGTTTCTTATCATATAGATATTTTATTATTTTAAACCTTGTATATATATATATATATATATATATATTTGAAGCTACCAAGACTAAACCCTGGGAACTAAAAGTCCAATACTCTATGAAAAGGCCACACCACTATTAGCATTATTTTAAACTGCAAAACCATGACAAACCAGTAAAAGAAAAACCGACATTAGAAGTAGAAAGAGGGTGGTGACAAGGAAAACCTTTGGTGCCCCACTAACAGTTCCAACAGGCAATGCTGCACGCAAAGCATCCCAGCTAGTTAGACCATCTAGCGATTCCCCCGTGATCTGCAGATTTCAAGTAGACTTTGTCACTATGAACACGATCATAGTAAGCATTGGACGGTAGTTTAAATAATGGCAGAATGTAAACTTAAAGTTTACATCTCCCTCCATCAGAATCATACATGAACTTCTAGAAAGGGGACCATACCGTCGAGCTGATGTGCATAACATGGGAATATCGTTCGATATTCATCAGCTTTTCAACCTTAACAGATCCTGGCTTGGAAACCTGTGTGAACAACCAGTTTTAAGAACAGACTCACAGCCAGATGTATAGGAGTAGAAAATATCATCAGAGCTTTAATAGTGTATATTGCCAGCATAATTGTCTCCATGCAATTATTCACAAAAAAGAACATGTTAACAAAGCAGCGATATTCTATATTTGCCAATGCAATCCTGCGAGTGAATGAGCAGCATGGTTTTGATTAAACCATACATTAGACATTCTGCACTTACTGAATGAAAATTAATAGAGTTCAATAAAAGAAAGTAAACCTTTCCAACATCATTCCTTCCCAAGTCAACTAGCATAATGTGCTCTGCACACTGCTTTTCATCAGCCAAAAGTTCTTTTTCCAACATTAAATCTTCCTTAGGTGTCTTCCCTCTTCTAATGGTCCCAGCAAGAGGTCGATTAGTAATCCTTCCCTGTCAACAAGATATAAATATGTGATAAATTCCAATTACAGCAATTTAACGCAATAACACCTTTAACAAGGGAGGGGCAAGAAAACAGGGAACGTCAATAGCAAACCAGAAGATAGAAGGGAATTATACTTAAAATATTATTACATCAAAATGCTCATTCTAATTATTCTTTGGATTGCTGCAACAATTACCTTCTTTACACGTGTAAGAATTTCTGGACTGGACGCAACAAGTATACACCCTCTAGCCTGATCAGAAGAAAAACGTGCACAACAGTTAGAATTTCAACATTAAGCAAGCATTTCCAACCAGGATTAGGAGGCAAAACCTGCAAATACGTCATGTACGGGCTCGGATTAACAATCCTTAGGGCTCTGTATATTTCAAATGGGTCAGCAAATGTTCTCCGCTCAAAACGCTGACTTAAGACAATCTGGAAAATATCACCAGCCAGAATATGCTCTTTAGCCTGCAACACGGCCTCCTTGTATGCATCACTTGTCATGCTTGAAATCTCCAATTTAGGGCCAAAAAAACGAGTATACAACTTTATTGAACCTGCAGGAAGCTTTGGGCTGAACTAGACAATTAAATCAGAAAAACTGCGACTGATCTATAGAGAGAAAAAGATGTTAAAAGAGAGGTGTGGAATCATTAAAAAAACAATCACTCACAGATCTATATCATGTACTCTAGACACTAAACTTTCCAACCGTTTCATGCCATCATTATAGGCGTCATCAACTGAAGAATATTGATCTAATCGCACCCAATGAATCACAAATGCTTTCTGTGGTAAAAAAAGTTAAGAAATCAAAGAGAAAATTATATTCTCAAAGGTAGCCACAATATCCAACTAAAATTTAAAATCAAGATCTAGTAAAACAAGCTAACAAAATTACAAAGAAAATGTTAAAAAAGAAAACCTCTTATCAAGATGAGTAACGTACATTCATTAAAAAAATAGAAAGATGTGTAAATCACATGAATCTTGGCATCACCATAATGGCCTTTGAAACAGCCTTGGGTTTTGAAAGCAGATTACGTAAGTGGTACACAATTTCTCCATTTAAATTTGTGAAACACCCGAAAGAAATAAGAGATTACACTTAAAGATGCATATATTCAACCTTGCAAGCAAAACATATGTAGATGCACCAAAAAAATGCATTATATATAGCCTATAGGCCAAATGTAAAATACCTTCTCAACATGGTCAAATACAATCACATCATCATAGAGGCCTAGATGAACATCTGGAAGGTTTCTGTCATCCAGAGGAGCACTAGGGAAAGGCAGCTTCTTCTTTTCTACGTAGCGCACTGTATCATATGAGAAATAACCAACCCAGCCACCTGCTCAAGGACATTGTACCATTACACATTAATTTAATGTCCTAAAAAACCCCACCATTGTTCTATTTCATCCATTAGAAAATGATGTGACTCCTAAATCGTTGCAGAAATGACATCCAAAACAGAAGAAGAAGTCCAACAACAAGGAGATGTGAAACTAAGTAGTAACACAACTCCAGTGTGATAAACAATTTTTCCAGACTAGCTCCTACAACAACAATAACAACAAAAAACTAAGCCTTATATCCCATAACTCTGGAATCGGCTAGACTAGTTCTTTCAGGAATAGAATTAAAAAAATGAAAAATAAACAAGATCAAAAGTAACTCTGTAACTGCAAACTATCAAGTAAATGTAAAACCTTTAAACAAAAATCCACAAGAGAGGAATCATAAAGACAAGGGAAAAGCTGTTAGTCCATATCACTCACCACAAAATACTTCCGGAAGCTCATCAACACGTTGCGGGTTCCATCCCTCCATAATTCTCTGCGGAACAGTCATTGGATCATCCACAATCTCTTCTATCCTACGCCCCTCCTCATGGTTCATAATTGTAACCATATTTTCTTTTGCCACGATTTCAATGCTTGGCTGAGCTCCAACCACACTATACCTTCCCTAACAAAAATTAACTCCAAAGAGCATAATCATTACTTAACCATAGCCTATAAACATATAAGAGGCACACGAAGAAGGAACTTACGATGCTGGAAACCTGCAGACCGGGCTCAACAGACTCAAACAGAAAGCTTGGAGCATCCCTATCATCTTCCTTAACCAAACATCGATATGCCATGACCGGCGTTAAGTGATCCGAGAATATACACCGGTAAAGAGGAACTAAATTCCCATTCTTTGAAGCTTCTTTAAATTTCACTGACTGGTCAACTGGTACACAATTTAGATCCATAGAAGCAAATAAAAAAATTAAAATTTTTCATATAATTACTTAATTTACTGAAAAAAATAAGAACTAAAACATTAAATTTTTGAATTGATTGAGTAAGATTTTTTTTTAAAAGAACTTTTCTTTTTAATTAATTTCATTTTCCTTTTGCCATGCATTTCTTGTAAGTAAATATGAACATAAATTAACCGCTTAGCCGCTTTAAGATTAGTAATTTTAATCAAAATTAGAACGGAAGTGACACCATTTTCTATACTTTTTCTACTAGGGAATCAAACAGAATATTCAAATATCAAAAAAAAAAAATTTCTTTTTTTTAGGTCAAAGTGAAAGTGAGAGTACCCGTAGATGATGACAGAGCAAAGCATTTGAGTGTACGGACGCTGGAAGCGGAGCTGAGAAGGGAAATGGACCTTGAACGGGAGGCTGAGAATCTGAGGTTGAAGTTAACGGAGACGGACGGAGAGAAACGGATGGGAGTTGACGGAGGCTGAAGGGAAGTAACGGCTAGGGTTTCCATGGCGGCCATTGCTGCAATTGTCTTTTTTTTCAAAATCGTCGAACTGCTGCTTGGATGAATAGACGGGGAATTGTAAAAGAGAGAGAAAATC